GGATGAATGGATGAGTACATAGATGGGTGAATGGATGGTTGATGAGTGGATGAATGGATGAGTACATAGATGGGTGAATGGATGGTTGATGAGTGGATGAATGGATGAGTACATAGATGGGTGAATGGATGGTTTATGAGTGGATGAATGGATGAGTACATAGATGGGTGAATGGATGGTTTATGAGTGGATGAATGGATGAGTACGTAGATGGGTGAATGGATGGATGAATGGTTAGAAAAGTGAATGAATGGAGGGATGGATGGCTAATGGGTGGATGGATGAGTACAAAGATGGATGAATGATGGATGGTTAGATAGTGCAGGGGTGTATGAGTACATAGATGAATGAATGAATGAATGAATGAATGAATGAATGAATGAATGAATGAATGAATGAATGAATTGGCAGACTGATGGCTAAGTGGAGGGATGGATAATTTTATTGATGAAAGAATAGATAATGTATTGATGAATGGGTGGAGAAAAAGATGCATCAGTGGATTTATAAGCGGAATTATAAAATGATGATTGGATTGCTCGACAGATGTGTGAGTGCATTTGTGAATAGGTGGATCAGTAAATGAACTAATAGATGAATGGGTGTGTATGGATGGTTGGTTGAGCTGTGAGTCTACGCTTGAAGGGATGATTGACTAGGTGAAATTTGTTTTTAATTCTCAGCTGACATGTGTTGTCTGCAGCTAATTCTGTGGTGAACTGTCGACAAAAAACGGTCTTCCCACTTCGGGAAGTTGGGAGAAATCACTTACTAAATTACCTTATGGAAGCGAGACAAGCCATGATTGCAAATTAAACAGGATTGCTTCCCTTGTATCATTTAGTAGTATAGTAGTAGTAGTAGTAGTAGTAGTAGTAGTAGTAGTAGTAGTAGTAGTAGTAGTAGTAGTAGTAGTAGTAAATTTTACAACACTAGGGCATCACACAAGCGATATACACCCGATGACACAAAGTGCCACCATGCGGATGAGGATTACCAGTGGAGAGGTCCCGGAAACCGCGTTCAGCCATTAGACCATATTTAAGGCCGGGCTATATTGAGGCCCCTGGCAAGAGCCAGGGTGGGGCTTCAAAATAAGGAAAAATTGCAACCCACAAGGGGATGACTGGTTATATGTATCATTTATTATTCCAAACTTATAGCTGTACTAGTGCCGAGTGCAGCGCACTTTGGTGGGACTCAGATTCGCCCACGGTCAGCAACAGTGACAAGTTTATATAGAGCCCGGTAGTAAGCTCATCAACCTACTGTAGACTAACAACACAAAACGAATGAATAAACAATGCGACGCAATGTGTACAGATAAAAATATATTCACTGAATCGCTGAAGTGACAACACATTTTGTTCCATCACCAGACACTATAACGAAGTGACTACACAAAAGCACACATTGGAGGTATGTGCACACACAAGTGCAGCCGGTAGCGGAGTCTGCAGGCCTAGAACTTATGGAGCATCTACTGAGGTGATACACATCCCGCAGTACTTGCGGCAGTATTTATGTCCATCCACTTGGTTTATACAGATGGGGTGTGCGGTCTCGTTCATGAGGGCACAGTCTCTCAGATTCAGCATGTCATGACACAGACTGTCGTGTTCTTCCGCTGTAGAGAGTAGCACAGTGTTGTAGAAACAGATATTTATGTACACACACATCATGCAGACATAAATTTATGCGTGCACACACACACTCACATATACACACAAACACACAAACTCACATATCTAGATATAAGAAGCATTAAACAAAAATGTAATATTTATGTATATATATATAGACACACACACAGATGTACAAACCCATGTACACACGTGTGTATATTATCATACACACATGTACGTTATCGGTAAAGGTAAATGCATAAAATAAAATGGAGTATGTTATATCTATATGTGTGTGTGTGTGTGTGTGTTGTGTGTGTGTGTGTGTGTGTGTGTGTGTGTGTGTGTGTGTGTGAAAATGCATTTAACAAAAGATGTCATATTTGGCCAAGTATATAACCCATCTGTTTCCGGAAGCGGTTAGTATAAACAGAGTGGAACACAATCCCTAATGGTGTCAGACTTGACAGTTAAGGCACATGGGAACCTAAACAGACACAACTCTGTGCTCAAGCATGTACTGAGTGGAAGCGTACAGAGGTAGTGTGCTAAAGAAAGACAACGTTACAAATACGTGGACAACATGAAATAGTCTTTGCGAATACATTATGAAAGGCTTGACTAGAGGGTGCTGGCGACCGTGGATGAGAAGAAGGCACATGATAAGATGTCAGACTAGCAGACATGCAGGACTTACGACAGTTTAGTTCATCGGAAGCATCGCCACAGTCGTTGTCTCTGTCACACCGCCATTCTTGGTTGATGCATCGACCGTTCTTACACTTCCACTCGGTGGCCTCGTCACAGACTGGAGACAACAACGACAAGCAATCACGAGGGACTGTTTTAGTTTTGTGGAATATTTCCATGCAAATCTATTCCATTAATAATACAGAATTATGTGTTCATCATCATCATCCTTTATGTGCTATTACACATCACATAGGGGTCGCCTTGGATTCCTCCACTTCTCTCTATTGCGTGCAACTCTTTCTATTTCTGTCATGGAGTTCAGCCCAGCGGTTTAAGTTTCTCATAATAATGTTTTTCTTAATGTTTCCCGATTTAGTTTCTCATAATAATGTTTTTCTTAATGTTTCCGTTAGTTCTTTCCTTTTTCTCAGACAGTTTGTTTCCCATTTCAGTGCTTGTTATGTACTTCTTTGCTCATTTGGTCTTTGAGTGTGCTCAGTATCTCTCTCACAAACTAGCCACATTTCTATATTATTATTGTTATTATTATTATTATTAATAAATTACTAATATTGGGGCGGGGTAGGGAATGCAATTAAATGCACACAACAATAATTAAACAGCTAAGAATATGGGTTATTAGGACACCTGCAGCAGACGACAATGACGTGTACCGCACATGAGTAAAGACATGGTGGTCAGACACAAGTTGCTTCCTATGCATACTTTCAAGCGTGTTTGTATTTTTTATGTTTATTTAATTTCATCAATGTTTAATTACTGATCTGTGTCTATCACTTGGTACATTGTACCTCCAAGAAATTGTGTTCTATCACTTGGTACATTGTCCCTCCAAGAAATTGTGTTCTATCACTTGGTACATTGTCCCTCCAAGAAATTGTGTTCTATCACTTGGTACATTGTCCCTCCAAGAAATTGTGTTCTATCACTTGGTACATTGTCCCTCCAAGAAATTGTGTTCTATCACTTGGTACATTGTCCCTCCAGAAAATTGTGTTCTATCACTTGGTACATTGTCCCTCCAGTCCCTCCAAGAAATTGTGTTCTATCACTTGGTACATTGTCCCTCCAAGAAATTGTGTTCTATCACTTGGTACATTGTCCCTCCAAGAAATTGTGTTCTATCACTTGGTACATTGTCCCTCCAGAAAATTGTGTTCTATCACTTGGTACATTGTCCCTCCAAGAAATTGTGTTCTATCACTTGGTACATTGTCCCACCAAATTGTGTTCTAACTTGGTACATTGTGTGTGTCTATCACTTGGTACATTGTCCCTCTAGAAAATTGTGTTCTATCACTTGGTACATTGTCCCTATACCAGAAAATGTGTGTTCTACACTGCAAGAAATTGTGTTCTTGGTACATTGTCCCTCTAAGAAATTGTGTTCTATCACTTGGTACATTGTCCCTCCAAGAAATTGTGTTCTATCACTTGGTACATTGTCCCACCAGAAAATTGTGTTCTAGCACTTGGTACATTGTCCCTCCAGAAAATTGTGTTCTAGCACTTGGTACATTGTCCCACCAGAAAATTGTGTTCTATCACTTGGTACATTGTCCCACCAAGAAATTGTGTTCTAGCACTTGGTACATTGTCCCACCAGAAAATTGTGTTCTATCACTTGGTACATTGTCCCACCAGAAAATTGTGTTCTAGCACTTCGTTCACATTGTCCCTCTAGAAAATTGTGTTCTAGCACTTAGTACATTGTCCCTCCAAGAAACTCATTCTAATTTTCCGAGAACCTCTATTTTTAAATGGTAGCCGCAGTGGTGCAACGGCTAAATGCTCGCGCACAGATCAAAAGGTCTTGGGGTAGATTCCGAACACAGCCAGACTTTTCTCAAAAACGACCTTAGCCACCAGGCTGACTCCAACATTAAATGGATACTAGATGTGGTCCTTGGAAATAAAGGTGACCGGCGTGATGCTGACCACATCACCCATCTTGTGTCGATTAGCCTAAAAAAATATCTAGCTCTCTTTGCTCAACAAGCGGCGTCCGTGGCTCAGCTGTTGCGAGTCCGACTCGTAATTCCAACGTACCGCGATCGAAACCCCCTGCTGGCTGCGTGGATTTCTATTATGGTATGGGGCTTCACGGGTCGACCCAGCCTCAAATTGGTGCTAGGATGTATGCCTGGGGAAGTAAAGACGGCTGGCGTAATGCTGACCACATTACCCCCCTAGTGCCGACTGTTCTGTAAAAATATAGATGCTCTTCCCATATGCGCGAAGCGCCTAAAGGGTGAACATGGATCTTTACTTGTACATTACTTATATGCTTATCATGCATGAAGGCGTGGGAAATAGTTCTTTGTATTTTTAAAGATTCCGTTAAAATATATCATGGCGTATGATAGATAGTGTACACAGAAACAGTTTATGAAATACTCTGAGGGACTTTAGAATAACAAAGAAGTTTATTGCCATGACCAAACTATGTATGGAAGACACTTGTGATACAGTAATATATAAAGGCAGAAAGTCAGACCATTTTCAGATAACACCTGGTTTAAAGCAAGATGATGCTCTGTCCCCACTTCTTTTCAACTTGGCTCTGGAGAAAATTATAAGCAAATTGAAACAAGAGTGTACTATAGGAGAATCTACAAGAATACTTGGATATGCAGATGACATTGATATCGTTGGAGAAAATGAACTAGAGGCTGTTAAAACACTGACTGTCTTAAAAGATTGAGCTCAGAAAATGGGACTAGTTATCAGTCAAGATAAGACAGAATACATGATAATAACTAGACAGGGAAAGGATATAAACTCCGGCCACATACAAGTCAATAATGTGAAAATCAAACGAACGGAAATATATAAGTACTTGGGTACAAACTTTATCTGCTCTAACATGCTGACAGAAGAAATACATCATTGAATACATTCTGGAAATAAAGAGTACTATGCCCTTCAACATCTACTAAAGTCAAAGTGTCTGTCTCGCAACACCAAGATCAAAATATATAAAACGTTGATAATACCAGTCGTTTTATACTGAAACTTGGAGCACAACTAAAAGAGATAAAGCCTTATTACAGGTTTTCGAAAACAGTCTTACGACGAATCTTTGAACCCATTAAAGATGCAAACAGCGGTGAGTGGAGAGTGAGAAGCAAAACGAATTCATAATCGGTTTAAATCACCATTGATCACTGGCATCATGAGAGCTAATGGACTGGAATGGTCGGGGAATATTTAGAAAATGCCAGGTGACAGAGAGGTAAAAACTGTATACACAAGAAAGATGAATGGTCGAAGACCACTAGGCCGACCAAGAAGACAATGGAGAGGTATCGTCCAAGCAGACCTGCAAACACTCAGTGTCACCAACTGGAAAGAGAAGGCCACCCAGAGAGACAATGGAGGCGGGTGATACCTGCAGCAATGAACCTCAAGGGCCCGGAATGCTGAAAAAGAAGAAGTTAAAATACATGTCCTTTTAGTCACGGTCCATGTTTCTTTACGGTAAATTAGTATACTGCATTTTGCATTTCCATGTTTTTACAGAACTCCATCACACTGAATATTTGTCTCCAAGTGTTTATTCCATTCAGTCATGTCGCCATCTGTGGCTTAGGAATTGCGAACGCTCTTCGTAATGCCGGAGTGTGGGTTCCGTCCCAGCTGCGGGCCATGCGCCTTGCTTTTTTTTCAACAGTGGTATCGAGAAGCCGACAATCGAGAATGCAATGGCAAACTACTTTTTAAAAAATAATGTAGATTATATATTACATTTCCCTCACCAATTATGTGGATCTCTGTATTGAAATCAGTAATTACCCATTAATTTAACTGCTTATTATTGAATGTAGCAGTAGAAGTAGGCAGAAGGAGAGAAAACAGAAGTATGCATACTGACCACACTGGAGCTCATCGCTGGCGTCTCTACAGTCATCCTCCCCGTCACACTCGAACCTCCTGTCGATGCACCTGGACCCGTCAGCGCAGCGGAACTGATGGCTGGCACACGAGCCCGCTGGGAAAAAGAAATCAGTGCAGTAGTGTATAAGCTAATGAAGATGCACCTTAGGATTGCACAATCTGCAGAGGCCTCAACAAATTACGTTTGTACACAACGCAATTATCTTTCAATAGTGCCCTTAAGTGGAATTTATTATATCGTTTCGGTTATTTTGCAGAGACACATTTGTTTATTTTTTAAGTTACTAACAAGTGAAACGACAATATATTTAAATCATCTAAAAATCTAAGGGGCGTAGAATTTATCATTTTCTGATATTAACTGGTTTAATTTAAAACAATTAAAAGGGGAGGGGGATCAATGCTATATATATATATATATATATATATATATATATATATATAATATATATATATATAAAATTACACACACATACAGACACATATATTAGGACCTCATATCTAAATACGGTCCTGGGTTCCTCGATTCCCTGGAGAACTTGTGACTGTGCTTTGGTTTGACTTAAGACAAAATACTCAACCAGTTTGAAAACTGTGGCCACCGATCCTCAGGGTGTGGAGCTGCATGCCTTGTGCCGTCCTTCTAATTGTGTAGGTTAGGATTTTTATTTGTGTCCTTGACAGGAAAAGGTCCCCTCCATTACTTAAGTGTGGATTCAAACCTGGTTTTAGTTTTGTTTTACACTGGCATACGGAGGAACAACTAATGGCTTTGTTTAGGTTTTACATTGAGACACGGGCGAAAAATCACTCACTTGAAGTGTCTTAAATTGAATTAATTTAATTAATATTGACATTTCCTGGCACAGAGATGGAACAACTGTTGGATGACCCGTGTGCTATGAAGCTGGAACTGCAGTTAAGTGATTACCTCAGCAAGCACATACATAAGTCATAGAGAGAACTGTTTTGGGGAAAACATGTTGATACCTAGGCAGTTCGCTAGATATATAGGCAGGCAGTTAACTAGATACACGCAGGAATCACTACTTATCTGTACCTACTACTTAGGTTAATAAAAAATAAACCTTAACCAACAGGCTCACAAAAAGACAGACAGGCTTGTAGGTGGGTAAAACGAACGAACTAAGCAACAAGTTTTATTTTCAAAGGGTTAAGAATTGGGCACACAGGCCCATCTACCATTCTGCCCTTCTTTCATACATTTTATTTATAATTTAAGTAATATTTAACATGATCAAAAGTGTCAAATATTCAATACAAGCACTGGAATGTGCACATTTCTAACTACAGTAAACAGTAGTTGTAATAAATCTTAGAAAAATAAGCGCTATTTGTAAAATAGCGTTTATCTTCTATGGGAGCATGCAATCTGTGCTCAGAGAATATTCGAACAGTTTTCAATTGTATGTATAGGTAATAGTGGTACTTTTGACTTGTTGTGGAAGATAGTTCCACAATTGAGCTGGGGAGTACGCCATACTTAATTTGTATAGATCTATCCTAGGTTATGGAATATGTAATATGTTTGGGCGTTTGCTATGCCTTCCATTATATTTAAACAACGGCCGTGAGTAACGTGGAGCCTTTTGATATAATATTTTATGAAAATATAGGCATTTTTAAAAAGTAGACATTGAAGAAGCAGTAGTAGCATAAGACTTTTATATGTTTCAGAGCTGACTGCTCCATGATCGTTACTTTTTAAGCGAATGGGAGTCTTTTGCAGTGACGTCAGCCGCTTGATAACAGAACTACAAGAGGTATACTAGATTGTGGAACCTTAAGAAATTGTTGCGCATCAAATTGACGAAGGTAGGTAGGTAGTTAGACAGTTAGGTAGTTAGGTAGGATTAATAGGCAGTCATGTAGGTAGTTAGAGAGGTAGGTAGTTAGACAGTTAGGTAGTTAGACAGGTAGGTAGTTAGACAGGTAGGTAGTTAGACAGGTAGGTAGTTAGACAGTTAGGTAGTTAGGTAGGATTAATAGGCAGTCATGTAGGAAGTTAGACAGGTAGGTAGTTAGGCACTTAGGTAGTTAGACCGGTAGATAGTTAGACCGGTAGATAGTTAGGCAGTTAGGTAATTAGGTAGTTAGACAGTTAGGTAGTTTGGCAGGTAGGTAGTTAGGCAGTTAGGTAGTTAGACAGGTAGGTAGTTGGGTAGCTAGGTAGGTAGGTAGGATTAATAGGCAGTCATGTAGTTAGTTAGGCAGGTGGGTTGTTAGGCAGTTAGGTAGTTAGGTAGTTAGACAGGTAGGTAGTAAGATAGGTAGGTAGTTAGACAGGTAGGTAGTTAGACAGGTAGGTAGTTAGGTAACTAGGTAGTTAGGTAGGATTAATAGGCAGTCATGTAGTTAGTTAGGCAGTTAGGTAGTTAGACAGGTAGGTAGTTAGGCAGGTAGGTAGTTAGGCAGGTAGGTAGTTAGGCAGGTAGGTAGTTAGGCAGGTAGGTAGTTTGGCAGGTAGGTAGTTTGGCAGGTAGGTAGTTGGGCAGGTAGGTAGTTGGGCAGGTAGGTAGTTGGGCAGGTAGGTAGTTGGGCAGGTAGGTAGTTGGACAGGTAGGTAGTTGGACAGGTAGGTAGTTGGACAGGTAGGTAGTTAGGTAGGATTCATAGGCAGTCATGTAGGTAGTTAGACAGGTAGGTAGTTAGGCAGTTAGGTAGTTAGACAGGTAGGTAGTTAGGCAGGTAGGTAGTTAGGCAGGTAGGTAGTTTGGCAGGTTGGTAGTTTGGCAGGTTGGTAGTTTGGCAGGTTGGTAGTAGGGCAGGTTGGTAGTTGGGCAGGTTGGTAGTTGGGCAGGTTGGTAGTTGGGCAGGTTGGTAGTTGGGCAGGTTGGTAGTTGGGCAGGTAGGTAGTTTGGCAGGTTGGTAGTTTGGCAGGTTGGTAGTTTGGCAGGTTGGTAGTAGGGCAGGTTGGTAGTTGGGCAGGTTGGTAGTTGGGCAGGTTGGTAGTTGGGCAGGTAGGTAGTTGGGCAGGTTGGTAGTTGGGCAGGTAGGTAGTTGGGCAGGTTGGTAGTTGGGCAGGTTGGTAGTTGGGCAGGTAGGTAGTTGGGCAGGTAGGTAGTTGTTGGCAGGTAGGTAGTTAGCCACGTAGGATTGGAAGGCAGGTGTGTAGGACTGTAGGATTTTAAAGCGGCAGGTAAGCAGGTAGACAACAGAAAGCTCGCTGTGTAGATACTTACTACAGTTTCTCTCGTCGAACCCGTCCCCACAGTCGTCGATTTTGTCGCAGAACCAGGTGTCTTCTATACAGACAAAGTTGTCACAGTGCACCTCCCCGGGAGAACAGTCCTTGGTTTCTGAGATGGCAATCAGGCGGGGAGAAAGGGGGGAGAAAAGGGGGGGGGGGAATTAAAACTTTGGTTAGTGTGCTCATTGTCAGCAGAAAATCAGAAATGTGTTTGCCATTCAACACATTGTCATTCATATTATTATTTAGCTTTTAAACAAGGCTCAGACTCCTGAGAGTCTCTCCCCAAAATTCAGTTTGGATGTCCAAAAAATCAATAAAGATGTTGCTGATTTTGAAAATGTTGGGCCGAAAGACGCAGATATCCAAGCCTAGCTGTAAACCAGAACACAATGTACCGATTTCCTTTTAACATTTAATAGAAAAGAATAAGCAATAGAATGTATGTAGAGTAGTAATCGTTATACTGTAACGATTGAAAAAATTCATTTATAAGAGACCCAATCTTAAACAAACAAATGGGAGAACACTGGTGAATGTAACACAGTTGGTAAACACAAAGTTGGAATTACACAGACAGAACGGATTTTTTTTTTTTTTTTTGCCTTTAGCAGCTGTAAACTCTGGTAGAAAGTTCTGGGTGTTCGTCCATCTCCAGACTGAATGTAGACTTGTTTCAGAACTTCGGTGTTGCGTGCACATCTTTTGCACATCCGTTTCACAGAACTGGCTTATTTGTATACATGCTCTTAGTTTCTTATCTCTAAGGAAGACATACTCCAACTTTCAATGATGCCACCAAGTAGTCGACTCTTACGACATGCTTGCTGGGGAGGCGGTAGGTTTTTCTTTTTTCCTGGCACCCACATTTGAAGAACTGATATTTGACTTTTACTATTGTGCAAGAGTTGCCAGAACGTCTAGGATACTTGTAATAAGGCTAACAAAAACACATAAACACGCAAATTAAATCTTTTTTTAAAGAATTTTTCACTGAAATTGTACACTTACATAATAATTTAAATATATTACTATATTTATATGCCCTTGACCACATAATAAATAATAATAAAGTTGTTTATTGCGCAGTTAAACAAGACTTATCATCCCCTTTCCCCTCCCCACTGACATTTTATAAGAAAGCTGACGAAGTCTCACTCAGATTGTTTTAATTTGTGCAAACACCACCATCCACCCCCCCCCCCCGCACCATTTTTTCCCGTTCATTTGCCAGTTTTCTTGTACTGCTGACCATTTGACAATTTACATTTGTGTAACAACAGACTGGTAGAACACGCTGTTAGTAGGTTGTCAGCCTGTTGTAATTATTTTTGTTTGGCTACACTTGCGAAATCAAACTGGCAGGTTTGCAAATCTTAGAAGCGAGTCAAAAAGCTGACACAAGGCCGGGCGGAGCAGGAGATGTTCTCTAGGGTCGCGCATGGAAACTTGAAGCATGTAATCTTACCTATCGGCTGCGGAACTATACAGGGTTGTTAGCGCAAGGCTGGTTCAGGGGACTGAATCGAGAGATGGAGTGGTTCACTGATTTTGTGTTGTGGCCATACGTTTAGCAGACAGATTATTTTAGGTCTAGATCCCTTCATGCATCCTTGCCAGAGATTCTGATGGTAGGCCGCATTTCATTTTTTGACATTTGTAATGCATTTTTTTTTTCATCTATCTAAATGATCAGAGCGATGATAATGAAGAAGACGAGGATTGGAAGACTTACTACAGTTGAGTTCATCTGTGTTGTCCCCACAATCATCTTCCCCGTCACACCTGTACTCGGCGGAGACACATTTGCCGTTGTTACACTTGACTTGGTGCTCACCTGAACAGTCGGTGGCTGTGGAAAGACAGGAGTACCTCATTAGCTGACTAGTTCACATAACACAAAAGACTTCATTTGTATTTAACAGTAGCAGTTGTTGTTGTTGTTGTTATTGTTGTATATTAACAGCTGCAACATCAACCCTCATGTACCTTTGAAGGTCACGTAGAGTTCCCCGTGCATACCTCAGTTCTGTTCAATCCAGTTTCATTCTATCAAAATTATCAATGAAGGCCTGTTCAGCACCTTTGGCGTCTTTTAACAACGTTATCTTCAGGGTTTTTCACGGACTTGCTAGTATCCATAATAGACTTCCTACTTCCATATCAGTGACTGACTAGTGAATCTGTGTCCAATTTCCTTGACGATTTGCCCATCATAACGCCATCCTCTAGATTTCTAACTGATGGAACAAGTGGTTATTCAGCCACTTCTCTTATTTCTTTACCTTTCCTGAATTCGTCAATTTGATGCGCAACAATTTATAAAGGCGTTTGCTTACACTATACTTAATTTTCGGTTCATGTGTTAGCTGTTCCCTTCGTTTACTGGCATGTGTTAAACTTTAAATAGCATTGGAATTAAAACTACACAAATTGTTTTTGTTTTTGTAAAACTAGAAAAAATTAGAGTTAGCAAAGGTAGCAGAGTTGTAATTATCCTTATGTCAATATAAATGCACACTGTAATCTATCTATAAAATACTTACGGCAACCATCTTCGTCAGAACTGTCATAGCAATCCCTCTCCATGTCACACACCCACTCATCTTGTATGCACATCCCATCCTGACACATAAACTGGTTCCCTTTACACGTGACTGCAATAGACAAAAAGGCCCAATGATACATTAGACTCAACTTAAGTGAAGAAAAAAAAATTGTCACTTCTGGCCGTAACAGCTCACCATACTGTTAGTATGAAGTGTCAAGTATTGAGTCTTTCTACTGAGACTTTCCACTTCTACGTTTTGCTGTTTACACTTGGTGAGCTAACAGGCTGCCATAGTATGGTGGCCAACACTTACTTTCCACAGAATAGTGTCTGTCCACGATATCCGACAGATTAGTGTCTGTCTAAGATTTACCACAGACTAATGTCTGTCCACGATATCCCACAGACTAGTGTCTGCCCTGGATATCCCACAGACTAGTGTCTGCCCTGGATATCCCACATACATGTATCTGCCCAGGCTCTCACACAGACTAGTGTCTGC